CAAATGTAAGCCTTTGTATAAAAACTAATGTATTTATATTGTCGCAGCGAATTCAAATTTTAAGACGGAACACATGCTCAAAATTCACGAATGAAGATAGTAAATATTTCCTTTCAAAATTGCTCTGTTATATAGAAAACAAAAAAAAATATTCTTATCTGGAAGTTACTCAGTCATCCCTGATGTTCCATCTTCGCTAAAATATACCATCTTCCAGTAAAATACTATAAATCTTTCGATCGAGCAGATGAAAATTCACTGCATTTCAAAAATATGGCGGTGTGATACATAGATATAGGAGACCTAGACAGTGAACTCTAATAATTACGCGCGTCGCGTGCGTAATAGAATACATTACAGTCAGTAATCTAGTTCTCCTATATCTATTCTATATCTATGTCTATTACGCACGCGACGCGCCAACATGAGCATTCAAAATGGCGGCTCAACCGGTCAAAAATCATAGAGCGAGATAGGGAAAAACCATGTTTTTCGCATTTTACGCCTGCCTACTGTTTCCGATCCCGATGAACCACCTTTTTTGGGGAAGAACTAACTGGTGTGAAGGTTTTGGATGAATATTTGTACAATTTAAGTTGAATAAAGACGAAATAATCGATCGCTAAATGTTTTCTGAAAATCATCACATTGTCGGTTGAGCAGTTCGAGACATTTTATTGCAGAAATTAAAGGTTTTGGTTCTTTGCGTGCTTTTCTTCTCGAGGATCTCGGTTGGGATATATAACAGGGAATAATATTGTGAAGTATTTTGAAGTTTAAAACCTATTTTGCTTGATTTACCTGGTCTGCTGGTGCGAAAACTATGATGCTCTGTTTACAAGTGTTTTAGTGTGACTTTGATGACCTTGCTGCTGCAGATGTCAAGGGATCTCAAGTCTATATGGCCTGCACAGTGAAATGTGATGAATCAAACAGGATTTTAAAGAGAACTAGTGACAGCAAAAGTTTTCAATGGAAAGTATTTTGAAGAAACTGGCTTATTTGTCTAGTATGCATCAAAAACTTCCACAGTATATATCTAGTTCTCTCCAAGAATCCTGATGGATTCATCATTGATATAAATCAAAAATAGATGGGACAGCATACTCTTTCAGCTATTTCTTGGATTGGCCTTTTATTAATTGCTTTCCCTTTCTAACCCAGCAGTAAGCATTCTCCCCTTGACAAGTAAAATTATCTGGTGTTAGAGTAAAATAATAAAGTAGGGTGCAACTCAATGGGTAAACCGGACCCATGGGTTAACCGGACCCATTAAATGGGTTAACCGGACCCATTAAGTACCAACACTTTCCCCTTTAGAAGTAAAATCATCTGCCGTAATGCTGTTAGACAAAATAAAATAATAAAGTAGGGCACATCAGGGCAAAATTCGACTTAATGGGTTAGTATAGTTGTTGGGTGTAAGTTGTTTCTCGCACAATACTGAATATTTGGTTGGCATCCAGTCTGCCCATTTCATTGCTGTTATCCAACTTTTTAGCCAGCTGGGATTGGTTATAGGAAATCTATATAGTGTGAAGGGAAGTATGTATTTTTGGTTCACTGATGTGAACAAAACTCAATTTTTTTACCTTCAACAGGCAAGGACCTCTATGAAAGTTATTGTCAACATGCATATATATACATATATATATATATGTACTATTTACAACATGAGCGGCCGTGTTGTATCGGATGTATTTAAATGACTTAAAAAACGACTCATCTTATGAGTTCATTGGCGAAGTAATTTTAAAAATAAACGTTGTCTAAGCCGAGAAAATCAAAGTTAAAATTTATGTAAATCAACATGAATCTGTATCACATATACAGATACGACACGCTTATGATTTTTCTTTGTGTTTTCTTCATGAATTATTAATGAGTTTTTTAAATATATATATAAACTCCTAACACAGACACCAAAACAAGAAGTTCTTTTGGTCTAATGTTCTTTTACTAAAACTGTAAACAGTTTTATATTGTAGGCAACAAGCTCAAAACTACATTTGGTGTCATTATTGTATTTACAAAACAAATAGTTTTTATGCTATTAAAAGCT